GGGGGGCGAAGGGCGGGATCGGGTCTGTGTTGCATGTCACTGTGTGTCCCCGATCAGGCGCCCTGGTGGCACAAAGGGAAGTGTTTAGCTACTAACTGAACCCCAACCTCCACCCCCACCCCGCCTGCAACAGGGTCACTGTGAGCAGGAATCACTAGCTAGCAATTGATTGCTTTGTGGTTTTATTTGTACCTTCGGTGTTAATAAAAGGCGTGGATACTAGGTGGGAGGTGCTTTGTACTTGGGGGCCGGCTCCCCCATTACCAGGTTATAACACCTCCTCCCACCACACCCTCAATTCAAAGTCTTTCTGATGTGCTGGAAAAGGGGTGGGGGCAGGAGGAAAATCAGAATTTTTCGAAACATGTTAGAAGGTGGGGCATGAGAAGTGTGTGAAAACTCACTGCCATCGAGTCTCCGATTTATATGTTCAATTAATGCTAAAGCATCCGAAATAGCTGTGGGCGAGCACAAGCGATGCCGTGAACCTCGAGTGCCCTCGTGTGGTCCTCTGCCGCCACTGCAGCAGATGAATTCCCTTCTTCCAGAACTCCTTGCCCTGGGTCATTTGTGACTCAGAGCAAGCCAGTCCGACAGAGCAGAACTGCTTGCCTAGGCAGTAAACGTTGTGGGAGCCGATTACCGTGCGGTGGGTTCAAACTTCTGACCTTTCATTTGATAGTTGACAGCTAACCACTGCTCCACCAGGGCTCCTTGCTCTTCTTCCAGAAGCCTCCCAAGTCCACCACTGACCCTGGTCAGTTCTCTTAGAAAAACCAAGCTGTCCCAGGCACTCTGCTAACCTCCGAATCTGCCAGAAAGGAGCCGTGGGCCTTGAGCTCCCTGTCCTCCAGCTGTCTACTCTCTGCCCCCTGCCCATTCTCTCCAGGGAGCATAGCTTTCCTCGGCACTGTCCAAGGTCAACACCAAGCCTGGGGAGGATGAGAAGAGTCTAGGGAGGTAGTAAACGCCTTATTGGCCTGTGCTTTCCAGTTTATTTGAAGTCTTTTTCCTGGACTTGTCGGCCTGTTGAGCTTCAGCCCATCCATCATGTTCAGAGCTACCCCCGCCCCCCATGGTAACTTCTTTCTGACCTGAGCTGGTTATTCTCTGCGCTGCTTCTGCAGCGCCCCCTCGCTTCTCCTGGATTTGCTTTGGTGTCTAGCTCAGTGTTGTGCTTCTTGCTCCCTCTGCCTGTGAGCCTTGCCCTGCTTCTGACTCCGAGATCATTAGCCACCCATCATTCCTCCTCCCCACACACAGGAGGTGGGGGGGGGGGGGGACATGACCACCTGGAACAAAGATTACAGTTCTCAGCTGCCTTGGCAGCCAGGTATGATCATGTGACCAAGCACTGGCCCCTGAAACGTCTGTGGAGGTACAAGGCGCTCGCTTCCAGGAACGTCCTTGGATAGACGGTCACTTCTCTCATGTCTCCTTCACCGTTGTAGGCTGGAGCTCCAGCTGCCGTTGTGAGCCATGGAAACAAAGGCTATCTCTTCAATACGGTGGGGAGGTCAGCTGGCAGAAGCCTGGGCTCTGATAACTTCATGGTGCCACCCTATTGTCCCTGGACTCTTTGCCAGTGTGTTCCATTTGTGTGAGGGACACAGAAGCTCTTACTTCTGCCAGCAGTGTTCAATGACAGTACCCTCTCTTAGGTCATTGGCACATTGCTCACTATCCAAATCACCTTGCTGACCTTGCCTTGTCCCTTCCCCACGCTGTAACCTAAGCCCCACGAGGACAGCACCTGCCTGGTCTACTCTGTTCCCCGTGATAACCTCAAGGCCTCGAACCATGTGTGGCGCACAGTAGGCATGCAATACATATTTGCTGCTACGTGACCATCTCCTCTGCTAGACTGCGAGCTTCTCAAGATCCAGAGCCTCGGGGAGGAAGAATTTCAGTGTCGCACGGGCAGGTGCACAGAACTGAACGGAGGACGGCCAGAGAGCGCCGAGGGGTGCAGGAGAGGCAGAAGTAAATGGTACCTGTGGTGCTGGAGGCCCCACCGGTAACACCAAGAGCCTGGGCACCTGTGAAAACAAGCAGAAGGTGAGGGCCCCTCAGCCACGCCCCACGCCGGTGGACCCAGAGCCATATCTGCCCTGCCTTCTCCCGAATGGGGGCATCACATCACTTGGGAGGCCGCTGCCATTTGGCAGGTTCCTTTCTAAAATGCCCCAGGCTTTGAAAGATGCCATCGTCCCAGGAGAGCACCCTCAGCCCCATTGGGTGGATGAGAAGGCAGAGACGCAGCTCTGTCAAGCTGGCATTGCCAGGGAGGAGCAGACTGGGACTTGAACCCCCATCTTTGTGATTCAGAAGGGCAGCTGCCAACCCTCCAGCTGCCCTCGATTGTAAGACCCGAGGCTCCAGGTGTCCGTGAAAGGAAAAGACAAGGCTAGGAAAAGCTGCTTTAAGACAGAGGCTCCTTGAGCCTCAGTTCACTCACCTGAAAATGGGAGTGGTGGTGCGTTTAGCTTGTTGGGAGCGTACCGAGGGCATGGGTTGTGTGATGTACATAGAAACAAGTGGGGCATGGGGCCAGACGCAAAGAAAATAGTACTAAAGTCCTTAACTCCACTGCATCTTAGGATCCTTTTGACAAAAACAAAGCCCTCATTCTTTTGGATTTCTGGTTTCCTCCATAAGGGTCATGGCAGTGTGGCCTACGCATGGGTGGGACAGATGGGAATGTGGGACAAAACTGGGGGGGAAATCCCTACACGATGATCCAGAACACTCTAAATGGACTTTGAAAAACACAGCCTTCAAACAAAAGCCATTTAAGTTGGGGAAGTGGGGGTGGGGGTGAGGTTAGGATTTGTATGCCACTTAGAAGGGGCTGGATTATGGGGACTTGGGAGCAAGTTCAGCAAAGCATGTGCTTTGCTGTCAGAGCTGGGTTCAAGCCCAGTCCCAGTCACTCACAAAGCAAGACCATCTGTTGTGTACGCACTGAGCCTCAGTTTCTCCCCTGTTCAGTGGACACAGCCATGCCTGCCTCGGGAGGAGTGAGGGACCCTGTGGATGCAGGATGCTCTGTGGTCTCTGGTGCCCAGGAGGGCCACCACCGGTGGCAGAGGCAATTGTTGGGACCACATGCATCTCACAGGGGAATGAGTCCTCCAGAGGTGGCACTCGGGTGAAAAAGGTCCCGAGCAGTTGAGCCATTGACCCTGGGTCACTTTCAGCCCTCGGTCTGCTGGCCCTTGTCACCAGGACCCAGTCCACTTACCTCTGCGAGTGATGGGTCCCAAATCTAGAACATAGGCTGGGTCGAGAGTCGTGACATCATTGCGGAGTCTGTTTCTGGTGCAAGACTGTGGAGGTGGAGAAGTTTCATTAGAGCAAAACATAAATGCCCAGTCGCTACCCAGACTGCCTCTGTGATGAGCAGCTCTGTCCGAAGAACTGCGCCACACACACCAAACCGCCCTCCCCCTGCGGCCATGGTTAACTTCATCTAGAGAAGTCCCAGCTCCGTGCCACACACACCCAGGGCTGAATCGCATTGCCGTTCTCTCTGATATGCCTCATTGCAGGTTCACCTCCCTGCGCCTCAGTTTCCTCGTCTATGTAATGGGGCCAATTATACCCCTCCTTAGTCAGGATGACTAAAATGAGGCATGTTAGTGGAGTAGGTCACAGGTTCTGAGTAAGCACACAACAAAGGTTGACGCAGCACCAAGCCAGAGTTGACAGCTTGGGCCTGGGGGCACATCTTAGGGCTGCCGCTTTCTAACTGGGTGACTCTTGGACAGGTGATGTCGCTGATCCTCAGTTTCCTCATCTGTACAACGGGATTAATAAAATAAATGACTGAAAGGGTCTGAGAGTTCAATTAGCTATGACATGTAAAAAAATTGACTCAGTTCTTGACCCATAAAAAGGCCGAGTATCATAATCATTTGGATCTGTCTGTGACAGGAAAAACCTCTATCTGCCCTGCCTCCAGAGGGCGCATGGATGATGGACACAGGGGCTCTTCAGAGGCTGACAGTCCATCCATCTATCTTTGCTTCTCTCTCTAAATCTAGCCCATGAATTCATCTTCCTATCCCTATTTCATTTCATCTGCCTATCTTCTGTCTTCCCCCCGTCCATCTATTCATTTGACTACCCACGTATTCATCCATCCATCCCTCCCTCCCTCCATTCATCATCCCAATAAATACGCATGGACAGACCACCAGGTATCAGGGCTTCTGCAAGACTTGGAGAGTTCAGTCCAAGAGGCACTCACCGGCTGACACTGCTCCTTAAGGAAGTCACAGAGATGAACCTCACAATGCAGGAAAACGAGGTCATGATTCCTGGCAAACATGAACATCTGGATGGAGAACCGGCTTTCCGAGGACACTCCATTCTCCTCCACATAGATGGTGGGGTCCTGCAGATTTGGGCAGCTGGGAGGGTGACAGGGGCAAAGATCTACTGTCTAGAACAGCTCAGGAGCTGAAGGCCCTTGGCTACACTTTGGACCTGTATCTGGTATAAAAGCAGCATCAGAGAGAGTGGTACCCAAGTCCCCTTCATCGTGACAACACGGACCTGTCCCGTGCCTCTGTGTCTCCTCCAAGACATTGCCCACAAACTCCCATGGCCTCAGTTATCAAACGCATAGTCTCTGCAGGAAGGCAGACTGCCTTCAAAGTCCCGCCCACCTCCCTTCTAGCTCAATGGTCATGAACAAATGACGCAATCCCGTGGAGCCTCAGTTTTCTCATCTGTGAAATGGAGACAATCATGCCATCTCAGAGGACTGATGTGTGTGAACACTAACTGAACCGATCCATGCATATTCACAGCACAATGCATGGTATATTGTTAAGCTCGCTGATAGATTCGGGTAATCGTTTGAATAAAAATAAGTATGCACTTTAAACTTTTGTCAATTATATTTAGCAATCTTTTGTCTCATAACATTGGTCATGTGTTTTCCCTACAGATCAGTGTGACCTGTGGAACATTCCATCACGACTTCATCGATCCCCTCTTTTCAAGTAATCCATCTATTGTCCAGATCATAAGGGATGCTGGATGAACGAGAACCAGCCTTTCTTTCCCCCTGCCTCCCTCTTTTGCGTTAATACTTCAGGATCAAGTCTCAGCATGGTACTCCTGGCTCAAGGGATGTGCACATGATCCCTAAGACCAAATGATTTTCCAAAAGATATAAACTGATTCACACAACTGCCGGACCTGAATCGAGTGAACGTTTCCCCGAAAACTTCTTGAGGCATAAAGGGGACCCCGACGTTACCCAGTACCTGTTTCTGATGATGAAATGCTTCACCGGATCTGCCTTGTCGTCCGTGGGGGTGGCATAGCAGTTTCTCATCAACAGTCTGAACCTGGAGGTGTCTCCTCCATCCAAGATGGCACCCACGTAGAGCATGGATTCAACCGACAGCACAACTCTGTCCCCTTCGTAAGGAGAGGTGTAGTTCTCGTCTTGGAAAAGCGCCATCCTGATGGTGAATTCTCCTTTCCCGCCCACGCTGATGTTCAAGGAACTGAACAAAGGAACGGCACAAGGGAGAGGCAAGTGACTCCAGGTCTGAGGCAAAGGCGCCTTGTTGATCTCTTGATGGATGAACTATTCAGTGATTCTTTTAAACTGACCACTGACTATTCTCTAGGCCCTGTGGCTTAGTGGGTAAGTGTTTTGCTGCTAACTTCAATGCCAGAGGTTTAAATCCAGCTGCTCTGTGGAAATTTGGCTGGCTCTGATCCTGTGAGGGTTAGAGCTTAGAACCCCTACTGGGCAGTTCTCCTGTGTCCTGTGGGATCGCTGTGGTCCACAGGGCAGTGAGTTCTTTTGGGAGGCAATGCCCATGCTGGTCTAAGTCAGAGGCTGCCTCGGGGATTCTGCCAGTCTGTCTGGCATCGAAGGTCAAACCTGACCGTATCACTCAGAGAGGAATACCAGGGGCAGGCCTCCCTCTTCTCTGTTGAATGAGGCTTAGAGGCAGTTTTGTGAGCGCACGATTGATTTTTAACAATAGATCTCTTCCATCTACCTCCATCATCTTTAATGATACCCTCATTTGAACAAGATGGTTTAAAAACAATACCAGACCACTTGCCCTGGAGCCTGTTCTGGCTTATAGCAACCTAATATAATCGCTCTCCCTTTTGACCTGTTTTAAAATTTGTTCCAGTTTTTAATATTCCCAGCCACCTTTCCCATCGAGGTTTTTTGGTGTTGTTTTGTCACTGCTGTTTTGTTTCTTTCTTGGTTTTGTCTTGTAGGATTTTCTGTGTATGAAATCCAGGATAGGTCAATCAACAGTCCCAGAATTAATTCCTCCCTAGGGGCATGGCAGGGAGGTTGGCGGGAAATGGGGAGCAGACCACATTGAGTACAAGAAAGAAGGAAATATTCTAACATTGACTGTGGTGATGATTGCCCAACCCTTACTACGGTTGAACGATCAAATTATATGATACGTTTATATGCCAATCAAACGATTTTTACATAACTTCATAGAAAAATAACAAAACAAAACTCAAACCAGACCAGTTGCCCTTGAGCCTGTTCTGACTCAGGGTAGACCTTCAGGCTACCTGGGGTCTCCAAAGGCTGGGGTCCTTCAGAAGTTGATCGCCAGGCCTATCTCCTGAGGTGCCTCTGGGTCAACTCAAACTGGCAGCCAGTCAGTTAGTACCCAAACGCGTAACTACTTGTGCTCCCCACAGGCTCCTGCTAATAAGATTGGTGACTTGATTTCTTTATTTCTTATGAACTTTTTATTTTGTATGAGCTCAGGACGATACAACCTGAAAACCACGGACCTAGAAAACGTCTCAGGGTCCTCCTGACCCCGCCTTCCCCTGAGCCCAGTAGGCAAGGAGGGGCTGAGAAGGGCACCCTGGAGTTCTTGGGAAGTCTAGGAGGGGACGGGATCATTCACTCAACTCCGAGCACTGGAGACACAGCAGAGAACAAACAAAAGTCCTTGTCACATAGAACTCCTCTCCACATTGTCGTTTGGTTCTATTTCTGGTGTCATGAGGGAGCTGTGTACTTCATCAGATTATTTTCTTAAAAGCAGGATGCAAGCTATACTAGTCTGGTCGTAAATCCCACACGTGCAAGGAAACCTTCTCAGCCCTACTATCCCAAGCCTGAGTTCAGATCTAGGAACCCTGCTCCCTGTTCCCAAGACACTGAATACTTTTTCCTGTACCACATTCATTCCACTTATAAATAATGATTGGCATGATTGGTTGTTTAATGCCTCTGTCTCCAAGATTAGTAAGCTGGTCCTGTATAGCACATTTAATAAACACTGTTTCATATTGCTGCTTTGCTTCATCATCATCTTTAATATGTTCTCTGCCTACTTTGTTCATGCTGAGCGGCCTTACAAACCGATCCACAAATACTTGTGGAATGGTTGTCCGAATGAACAAAAGTTGGTGAGAGGCATCCCGAAAGCATCCCAAGTTAGGCTTGAAGTGATAGGGTCGATGTTCTAGCTATGGACCAGCGTTCAGAGGTCAATACCATACCTTACAATAGGCTGCAGGGCAGTCTGGAGGCTGACCTTCATGTCCAGTGGGTAGGCACACTGGAAGTTGATGTTGAGGATGGTGTCTCTGATGATGAAATCATTAGCCAAGGAGAGCATGTTTTTGTAGATGGCATGGGTTTCATTTCTCTTTGGCAGAAAAATAAAACCGCATATATGAGCCCATGAGCATGTGTTCCACTCAAGTATTCCTCCCTCCAGAACCAATGCTCTCAGCCTTTCTGCCCACCCCACCCCTGTCTGTTAATCATCTCAAGTAGGTCCATGGGACTCCCAGGCCAATGACATGGACTCTAGGTGAAGCCTAGCTTACAATGATTGATCTCAAGTGTCAGACCTGCCCAAAGCCCTTTATGTGGACCACCATGTGGAATCTCACACAATTCTAAGGACCCCAAAAGGCAAAGGGAAACCCCACGGGTATAGTGGATGACTCGTTGAGCTGCTAACCGAAAGGCCAGCAGTTGGAAACCACCTTCCCTTCAAGGAAAAATGATGAGGCCTGCTGTGCCCATAAAGATTTACCATCTCAGAAACCCTAGGAAGCAGTTCTACTCTGTCCTGGGGTCACCAGGAATTGGAACTGACTCGATGGCAGCGGATTTGGATAAAGAGCAAAGGGATTTGCCCTAGTCGTATGGCTCCTAACTGGAAGAGCTCCCAGAGTCCCCTGCTCACCCTTCTGTTCGCAATGCTTCGAACAACACTCACCTCCAGGATATTCCCACAGGCACCGGCCTGGGCGGGGCTGGTTACAGACATCCAGTTCCGGGGCTCACTTTGCATGCTGCTGTTGCAGTGTGGGTCCTGCAGGTAGGCACTGACCTCCTCCCCAAAGCCCAGGGCTCCCAGTTGACACCTGTCCAGCGACACTTTGATCTCTGTGGCCCCACAGTCCAACTGGGGCTGCAAACTGTGGACGTCTGGAAAATCAGAAGAGGTGAGCGTGGAGTGGACGGGGGCCTGGAAGCAGAGGCAAAGCCTGCCTTCTCAGTCCTTTTGGCGGAATGGCCCCAATGAGATGGATTCCGTGGATGGGGTCTGGTGCACAGACAGAATTCACACCTGGGCTGGTGGCTATGTCAGGTTGGAAAAGAAGTCCCTAGTCCAGACTTTCCCAGCATGCTGTCTATGCAGACTTGGCTAGGGTTGTGTGCCTCATCCCCACTAGGGATTAGGATCTTTCTGGTCCGCATTTCAGACTAGATTCCCAGTTAGCTACTCATGACTCCTACTCCTCTCTTGGTGTCGTCAGCTCACCTGACCACGTTCTGAGGCATCCTTTTATTTCATTCATCCACTCAACATTGATTACACAAATCTGTCTTGAGGACGTTCTGTCTTCTGGTCTCTGTTCTAGGTACTAAGGATACAGTGCTTATCAAACTCAACAAAGTTCCAACTGCTCTGAAACTTATATTCCAATAGGGGAGACAGTAATGAACAGACATAGGTGATTCATGATGATGTATCCACAACTCTTTTCAAAAGCGATCTAAGTATGGAAGAATATGATATGTGAATATAATATCAAGAACATTACCAAAAAAAGAGAAACCAAGTTTGACCTATGGTTACCATGGTGAAGGAGGAAAAGTTTTTGCATAGGGGCATTGAGTTTATTTTAATGGCGGTGGAACAAGTTGGAGAGAGAGGGCTATGAAGAATGGTTGTACAACACAAAGAGGATAATCAGTGGCACTGAATTATACATGTAAAAGTTGTTAAATTGGAGAATGTTTTGTTGTGTATATATTTGCCAAATGGAAAAAAAATACACAAATAACAGTGAGTGCAAGGAAGAAGAAAATGTTCTAAAATTGATTGTAGCAAAAATTGTACAACTCATCTTGATATGATTGAACTGTTGAATTGTATGTTATGTGAATGAAGTGCCAATAAAACTGTTTTAAAAAATAAATACATGATTCATTCATGAATGCATTGCTTCAATATTAACTTATTTCTTAACATGTGCAGGAGGAGTGAATTATTGAATGTGTTTCTGCTAGCCAGAGTCTCTGAAACTCCCCCCAGACTCCCACCTTTTCCTGTGTAGGTCTGGATAAGAAGGTGGGGAGACACTGATGGGATTCACCTGTGAGTAACTGCGAACAGGAATCATGGCGATTGCCATCTTTCTGGGTATACAGTGAGCCCTCTGTGAAGCAGGACGGGGATCTCACTACCAGCAAGAGCTGGAGTGGAGTATGTCATCTGGACCCTGAGATTCCTGCACAGTGAGCCTCTGTGATCCAGAAGACAGCTTTGACATGTAAGGAGTGGCAGAGTAGCAACCGCAGAACCAGGAGCCCGGGCCGAGAAAGAGGGATGGATTTCCCAGCCCGCAGAGCAAGTAAAGCTGAGTGCCTTGGGGCAGGAGGCTAGCTTGTGAAGTAGGGCTGCCCTGAGCACTTAATTCAGGGATCCGGGCTCACTGGGCTGTGGAGCTTGAGCTGAATGCCTTCAGGTTGAGACTTCCAGAGGAGTGGCATGCCCTTTGGGCAGCTATCGGCAGCCCTGAAAGAACTTTGTAACCTGTCCTGACCGGACTTCTGCATCCTGAGCATTTTTCATTTGCATTGTAACCTGTCTCTCCCTCTCATCATGAATGTTGTCTGTGAATTCTGGGTGGCCATGGCAATGAAATACTAGCACCTAAACCAGTGGTTCTCAACTTCCCTAATGCCTCGACCCTTTCAGACAGTTCCTCATGCTGTGGTGACGCCCCCAACCATAAAATTATTTTTGTTGCTACTTCATCACTGTCATTTTGCTACTGTTATGAATCAGGTGACCCCAGTGAAAGGGTCATTCAGCTCCCAAAGGGATTGCCACCCACAGGTTGACCTAAATGAAGAAGTAGAGAATGTTGTGAGTGACAGAATACAATATATTAGACTCATACAACACAAAACTACATAAGATGTAGGGTCTGCCCACGGGGATTCCTCAGTCTGGTGAAAACCAACCTTCGATGTTTGCTTGGGAGCACTGAGTTCTTGGTGGTGGAAACATTTGGAAGAGGCTCTCCACAATGGTTGGACAGCGTGACGAGTATAATCAATGGCAATGAATGATAGATGTGGAAGTTGTTGAAATGGAGGATGTTTTGTTCTGTATATCTTGGCCACGATTAAAAACAATCATGACACAAATAACAATGGGTACAAGGAAGAAGAAAATGTTTTAAAATGGATTGTGGTGGTGATTGTACAACTCTGCTTGATGTGATTGAACGATTGAGCTGTAGGATATGTGGATGAAGTGCTAATAAAACTGTTTTTATAAAAACACTGAGCTTGCTTCCAATACCTGGTGGAATTCTGGAGCTTTCCCCTCTAGCCTGAAGCCTATTTGGGGGGCGCTTCAGGGGCGTTGTGGCTTTGCTTCCTTTGCGGCTCTGTTACATTCCCTTATTGGTTTGCCCTACCGTGGGGGGCTCAGACTAGACTAACCCCACCCCTGGGTGTCCCCAGTATTGTCCTCTGTCATGGTATGCTCCAGTGAGGGGTCATCATGTCTTGAGAGTATTTCCGACTCCCAGTGGCCATCAAGGACAGAGGAAGGTTGCGGTTAGGGGCTTCCGAGACTGTCACCTTGACCGGAGTATAAAGCTTCCTCTTTCTCCTGCGGAGCTGCTGGTGGTTTCAAACTCACGACCTTGCAGAGAGCAGTCCAATGTGTGAGTCACTATGCCCCCAGGACACCTTGCCCCAGTGAGCTAAAACATGGCAAAGCCAGGACTGGTACAGGAACCTTAGAACCAGCTCCTCCATGGGCAGAGCTCTCGTCCCTAAGCTCACCCCTGCCCGGGCCCTTCTCCTGGTCCCGGTGTCTGTTGCTGGCCTGGCTCTTTCCACCTTTCGCATCATCTGGAATTGAGAACTAAAGTCCCTTGACCCTACCTCCATGTCCTCGACACGGTCAATACTTTGTCCTGGCCCGCCAAAGCTGCCTCCCTCCTTCCCACCCCCAGGTCCTGCCCATGCAGGAAGGCAGACACGGTGCCCCGCCCCACTGCCTGGCCTGCCAGACCACTTACCAGAGCTATTGAGGTCCCGTCTGCAGAAGCAGCCCCAGACACCATCGACAGCACGGCACTCTTCCTCGGGCCGGCAGGACTCCTCACACTTGTTCATCACAGTAGTGGGGTCTGGTTGCAGCACGGAGGAGGCGAGGAGAGAGATCAGGATGCAATGTGGGACAGAACCCAAGGTCTCCAACTCAAACCTCATTCCCTCACGGCCCTGAAGTTCATGGAAGAGCCAAGTCTGGAGCTTGGAATTCCTGACCTCCAGCCCAGAGAAGGAAGGGAGAACCCCAAAGCTTCCATCTTCAACCCTCACCATGACCATACAAGACAGGGAGAGCAGAGTGGGTAAGCAAGGGCAAGGATTCCAAGCCCAGCTCTGCTAGATTGCAGCTTTGTGAGTTCCGAAAAGTTACTTAAATTCTCTGGGCCCCACCAGCCTGTGTGATCATGAGGTGTCAATGGGATCAGGGATCAGGCATCAAAGACCCAGAACAGAAAATCATATCGATGTGAATGAAGGGGAGGGCAGAGTGAAGACCCAAAGCCCATCTG